AATATTACTTAAAGGGAAGGGAAACGACAATTTTTTAAAAATTGGGCTTGAAAACTATTTGGAGGAAATTACGGGGTTGTTATGCAGGGGGGGCGGTGGGGGATTTATCCAATGGATGATATTATGGCAATAAAGGGAGGCGCGTGGGGTTTACAGGAGGGAAAGGTTAAAAGCGGGGGGGGTACAGGGGGGGGTGGAAAGGGTTAGGGGGGCGATAGACCTTCATTGTGCGTATTCGTGGGCAGAAACAAAGCAGCAGGCAATGACAATTCCAGGGTTGGGGGTTCAGGTCGATAGGAGGGTACAGGGAGGGGCAGGTATACAAGCTAGGAAGGAATGGGGGGTTTTTGCTGAAAGGGGTTGAGAAGTATGGCAACAAGAAGGGGTAGAGGTGGGGTTTTAGAAAAAAGGTGTGTGGGGGTGTGGTATGTCATTGCATAAAAAGGATAGGGAAGCCCAAAATGGGTGGGGGAAAAAAATTTAGGGGGAAATGGAGGGCTACAAAATGGAAAGCAAAAAAGGGCAAAGCACTGGGAATTGTTTGGGCTCTGGGGAGTTTTTTCAGCGCATGGGAATTAATAGGGTTTTTTGGTTAGGTTATTTAAAATTCATGAAGGGAGGGTGAGCTGGGTGAGGAGCAGGCTGGTGTCGTTGTATTGGTACCGAAGGGTAAGGGGAACATACGCTTTGGGGAAATTTCCGGCGATTGTTGTTATGCGCAGATTAAAATTGTTTTGAAGTTTTGGGAAATCGGGGGCAAGTGTGTGGTGGGGGGTAGTATCAAAAACTCAGTTTGGTTTGCCGGGAGGTCTATGGTGGAGGGGCATGGGTTATTAGGGGTTTCGTGGAGGGAAAAAAGGGGGGGAGAGGGAGGGGGTTTGGTGGCGCCGATTGGGAAGGGGCAAAATAGAGGGACGGAAAAGCATTGAAAGCCCCTCCCCCCAGGGTCAGGGGTTTTTGGGGAAAAAAATGTTGGGTTGGGGGTTTAGGCGCTGTATGGAGGTGCAATGGCGAGGGTACAGTTAAAGGTCGATTGGGTGGGAAGATTGTAATGGGTAGGGGACTTAGGGAGGGGGGTCCTATGTCACAGTTATTGTTTGCGTGCGTACAGGGCCCCTTTTATAGTTGGTGGAGCAGCGTATGGTTTACGTGAGGGGCCGGGGGTGAAGGTTGCGAGGGTTTGGCCAGTTTTAAAATTTGGGGATGTGGAGATACAAAATTTCTGATCGGGAGGGATGTCAATGGGCACATTAAGGGTAGTACAAAACCAGGGGCAACTGGATGAGGGTAAATTCAATAAATCCGGTCATGGGGTTAGGAGCTTGGCGGGAAGGGTTGATTGGGGGGAGGCGTCGTGGGAACAGGTGAATTCGTTAAAAATTTGCGGTCTTATTTATGAAACATTGACGGGAGCATGGAAAACTCGTTTGGATGGTAGACAGGATTTTGGGGTGCTTGGGGGCATTGCGGGGCCTTTCATTTGACCCTTGTGCACGGCATTTTTATTAATATCTTATGTAAGCAAAGTATGGAAAGGGCAGCCTGTTTTCCCTTAACTGGGGGAGCAATAACGAAATACTTAGGAAGGTTTTTAAAAATTTTTGTGGGGTTTTGGCTGTGATTGGATTAAAAGGGGTTGGGAATGTTTCCGTAAGTCAGGGGGGGGTTGGGATTGCTGGACTTAAAGCGGGGGTCAAATGTGTCTTTATTAAAAGGGAGGTGATGAGGGAAAATGTGGGTGGGGGGGGGGGGGTTTGGCCAGGACCCTAACAGATTTTCAAAAAAGATGTATACAGGGTTTTAGTTGCATGAAATGTGGGAAATTTTTGGGGCTATGGCGTGGGATCGGAGCCCGCAAAAGTTTTAAAATAGGTAGGGTTTTGTAGTTGTTAGCCCGGGGGGGTTTTACGCCTGTAGGGGAATTTTTCCCGTATGATGGGGAAGTATATGGAAAAGGTTGAGTAGGGTGAGGTTTAAACCCCGTGTTCGGGATGTAAAGTATCGTTTTTTTGCACGGCATTTTACCGTCGGGGGTGGTTCTACGGGATAGAGATCGTTGACGGGGAGGGAGTGTGGGGTGTTGGTGGGGAGGAGTCGGCTTTTATGAGTATATTTTTTGATGGGCTGATGGGGCAAGGGGTGGTTAAAAAGGGGGGATAAAAAGGGTAGGAGGTAAGGGAATTTTTGTATTGAGGCATTAAGCTTGACGTGGGGGGTTTGGGAGGAAAGTGTAAAAGAGCTGTGGGGTAATTATTGGGAGATATATCTATATAGTGTGGGGATTGGGGGGGGAAAAATTACGGGTGAGGGGGAGGTTTTTAGTGGGAAAAAAATTTTAAAAGGTTGTAAAATAAGGAAATTTATGGGAAAAGGTGGGTGAGGGATATAGCAACTTTCTTTCAGGTTTTATTAGACTTGTAATATACGAGGGAGGGGGGGCGATTGGAAAGTTTGCGGGTGGGGAAATATGGTTAAAAAAAGGGGCGCCTCCCTGGTAAGGGTGACAAACAAAAGTTTGCATGAGTGTTTGGATGAGTGATGCGTGAGTGAAAATATGGGGACCCCGGGGGCTAGCACCCGTGGGTGGCCAGTTTTTTTTGGACATGGGCTATACACTATTCAAAGTACTCCCGTTCCTTCAAGGTAGTATGATGTGGATAAGGGATTTAAGGGGGGGGGGGTTTCCTAATCACTGTGCAAGCGGGGTAGGGCAGCATATTGATTGGAAGTGATGGACATTTTTGTCCAGTGTGTTAGTATTATTGTGATAATCGCATATTATTGTTTGAGCGGATGGGACTACATGCAAGTTGGACTTTTCTATGAGAATTACCTCTAAGCCGATATGTGAAGGCTGATTGATCAACTGTGATCCATTCAAAATAAAATTTTTATTTTGTTGTTATCTATGTAAATAGCGTCTTAATCATATTATTATTTTTTTCTATGTAATAGCAGTCTTAAGTCATAGATGTGAGTTTTGTTTAGGGGCAGTTGTCACAAAAATTTTTTTTTGTTTTTTCTGTGTTAGGGAAAAATATGTGGAATTTTTTTGTGTGTAGCCGTACTGGGGGGGGTTTTACTTTTTTACCTTTTGTATTCTGGGTTTTTATAAAACAGTTTTATTTATTTACTAGTTGCATGAATGGGTTTACATGCAAACTGCCATAAGTTGCTTTTGGGGTTGAATTCTTTTTTGCAAACCTCTTTGAAAAAATTTAAACTTTTGGGGTTTTCTTTCACCAGGTTGAGGTGTCATTGTGTTAAGTAATGACATGTATCCCATTTTTAAATTTTTATTAATATTTTTGGTCTAAGATGTTACGATCATCTGAAAATGTAATTCCTATGTATCCTTTAATGTTAATTAGATCGTCAGGGTTTGGGGAGGGTTTTATTTTGCGGGGGGGGGGGGGGTGAAATTTTGTCAAAAGTTTCAGCCTTCACAGGTATATAACTCTGGTATAACTGGGTGTATATGGTGTGTGGTATTAGGGCGTCAGAACACTTTTGTCTATTGTAATCATTTTTGTAAGGGTGAATTGGGGAAATTTTTGGGTTTAACTCATTTTTTGACCTTTTAATATAATTTCCACCTTTTTATTGTAATGTTTTAAAAAAAAATATAAAAAAAAAAAAATCACGGGAAAGATTACTGTTTCATTCAAATTGTGGATATAATAGAGCATAGTTCACATATTCCAGAAGGGTTCTACGGTAACCTTTTTACATCAAAATACCTTTACTTTTGGTAGACTATTGAAACATCGGGGTGGGAGGAAGAATTTTTAAAATTTTAAGGGTTTTCGACTGGAGGGAAAATTGGAAAAAGTTTGTTTGTGTTCGCAAAACTGGTTAGTTTACGACAGATTGCGTCATTCCTGGTTCCTTTACGTGTTCAGTGCTTCAGAGCGTGAGCCCCCGAGGGGTGGCTCGGGCCCCGACTGGGGATCTTGAGGCTCAAGGCTCTGGCACCCAGTTGGGCGGCTTGGATGGTCCACATATCAGGCAGCAGCCCCTCCTGCTGCTGGCCTCAGTCCCCACACCCTACATCACCATGACAAGATCCAGGAGAGCGGCCTAACTTCCTTGGAAGAGCGGGACGAGTTGGAGGACGACGTGGGCAGGTGGGAGCCCCCACCAATGAAGGCCAAGTAAGCAGTGGAGACAACAGTACCTACCAATCTCCACTAGTTCCATCGCATCCCCAACCCAGAAGACTTGCACCCCTCAAAGGCCAGTTCAGGGTGGTCTCCGTAGGAAGGAAAGCCATGTAGGATGTAGCTCCTCAAGTGGCAAGGATGGATGCTCATCCCAGGGTCCCCTACACCAGTTGCTTCGCCTCCACGAGTGGACTGGTAAGGCTGACTCCACGTGGAAGGAGGAGTTTCACCGACAGCCTCGGGCACAAAAAGCAACACATGCCTTCAACAAATTCAAGTTTTCCCCACTACGGGTTTAGTGTAAAGGTATCAGGAAGGTTCCTCCCCCCACCTCAATTTTCCCGCTGCAGTTCACTCACATGAACCGAGTTTTCTGGTCCATTTCCTCCGGAACGAAGATTCTTACAGAGGAGTTGAAGGGGCTAGTTGTGGACCCATTCCCAGCATGGTGGAAAAAGTGTTGCTTCTTGCTATCGGAGAAGGGTGTAAAAGGTGGTGCTTTTTACACGTCCCTGTGCCCCTCTAGCAACTGAAACCCCAATTTGGGAAGTTGCCCAATAGTTGTCAAGGCGGAGTGACCGACACTACACGGTGGAACAAGGAGCCCATCCACCAGTTGCTGATTCCACCACAAAGGTCCACTTCCCACGCTACCTGGTCCTTGGGGTCTGGGGAAGAATCAAGAACCCGACCAAACCCTGTCAGGCACAGTACAATTTGCTTTCCACTGCCAGGGGTTCAAATCATAATTTCAGCCAACTGCCAGCGAAGAAGAAGAAGTTGTGGTGTGTGCAGCAAGGCACATCACGACTCGAAGGACCTGCAGAATCCTCAAACAGCCAACTGTCGAAGCCCTTCGGCCAGAGCCCAAGTGTCCAACTGTCTCAAAGAGGCACCCATGGCCCTGGGAACCGAGCTGTCCTGTGATGGTGCAGCCCTGGCAGCATGTTCCGTCAATTGAACTCCCGACAGCACACTGATGGCCACCAATCCTTGGAACTGCCCAGCAACAGTCCATCAGTGGGCATCCAATCACGGTTTCCCCTGGGGGGGGGTGGGGGGGTGGTCCGGCGTGGGGGGGAGAGGGTGGGATAACTGCAGGAGGGCAAATACCAGCGAGTTTTCCCAGCACTGGTGCCTCCCAGCGGTGGCATCAGGGGGCAGACACTTGTTTGCATCACGCAGTCGACTGCGGGGTCAGATTGCAAGGTGGGCGCTGCAAGAAAGAATCATTGAGAAAAACAGCCACATGCCAGGCACACTGCCCATCAGGTCCCAGCTGGGCAACTCAACATTATCCTAGCCATACCGCCAGCAGCCTCTTCCCAAGGGCAGGCCCACCTACTGTGAGTGGGCCAGAGTCAGGCCAAGAGGTTCCCCGCCCAGGGGACTTGGAATCCCATGGCCCACACATGCCGGGCCCAGGGGTGCACCCATCATATGCTGCTGCAGTGTCGACACCAACCCCAGACATACCCACTGTGACTCCAGCCCACGACTCGACGGGTCGTCCAGCTCAATGCCTGCAGAGGTAATGGTCGAATCCGTTTCCGGATTCGACTGAAAGAAAACCCATCGGGGTCAACTTCAGCGCTCCTGCTGTCTCCTGCTGCCGTCGGCAGAGGACAGGGGCGCCAGCAGGCACCTCCAGTCATTATGGCTGGGCGTATGGTCCTACGGACAGGAAAGACTCAATGAACTTCAAGCCATCATCCAGGAGTCCCTTCGCAGTCTGTGATGGAGGAGCCCCGGAGTCGCCAACAACGGACGAAGAGTCCCATGCAGAGATGACGCATGAGCCAACCTCTGCGGCCCTTGAAGATCCACCAGGGAACAATTTGGGCTCAGCCGTAGACAATTCCACCTTAGGATTGAAGCCTGCGTTGATCAGGATGAGGTTGATGTCTTCCGTTTTCCATGAGACACTCACCGATTTATCACGTCAAATGCAGCCACAATATTCCCGGGATTCTCTGCCTACACTTCAGCATCCTGGAAGGGACAGGCATGGGCACTGACATCTACGTCTGGCCCACTATCCCTCATTCAATCTCCACAGAACCCCATCGACTGTGGGGAGGCGTAGATGTTCAGGCTGTCACCCTACCCTGGCGGATGGACCTCTCGTGGTTTTACAATAATTTACAGAAGCCTCGTTACATGTACCCTTGCATTTTCAAGGTTGCAGCAATCCCCCACGGGAGGGTCTTGTTGTGGCTGGGAAGGTCAAGTGCCCACCACCCAATACTTTACTTCTGTCCTCTCCTACCAACGCAGCTGGGAGGCTACCTTGCCGCTGTGCTGGAGGAATGTCTTACCCTCCAGCAGTAAAGGTGAGGCGCAAATCCCATCACTATGGTGGGCCGCATGGATGTTCACAGGTGGGGTGGTGGTGTTGCTCATCTCTAGCTGTTGCTCTCGAGCCGCGAGATGTGAGGTCCATCCCCGACCTCACCAGTGACCACTTGTACTAAGCAAGTGGTCACTGACACTGATGTCCAGCATATCACGCTCCCCACACCTACCCCCCAAGATGGAATCTAAAAAAGGCCCCGACGTCAGTTCTTTCCAGAGGTCATTAGAGCGCTGTGGTGGAGTCTCCTCTTCAAGAAGAAACCCAGAATTGAGCGGCTCAAAGCTGTGCAGGTGGCCCTCACATGTTGCAGCTGAGCAGCAATATTACCAAGATTTACAGGCGGAATGGTCAATTAATAAACGTGACTGGTGGTGTATAATTCAAAGCAATGAAGCGGGATCAGGAACAGAAACCACCGCATCAAAGTTGTACGCAAGATGCCCAGGCGTAATCCCACGTTGTAGTCCCATGCCGTCTGTCTCAGGGAAGTTGGGGCAGCCAATGCACGCCATGCTCACACAGGTCCCGGCAAGGCTAACTGGATTTTTTCGAGATGTGTGTGCCTCCTTCAGCTACTCCACCACCTTACTGAATTTGGACCCAAGTTACTATTGGCCACTGGGCAGTGTAGCAGTGTGGCTCGGTTGCACCCAGACCCCAGCGAACGGAGGGCAGAGCTTCTGGAGGGACCTATTTCACCTCCAGAGCGGCCATGGCTCAAACTATGCCTCAGATCCCTCCAGACCTCCAAGCCACTCCTCATCCTAGAAGGTGATGGTGATCCAAGCCAGCATGCAGGCTAAGGACATCACAGATGAAGACTTTCACCGCCAGGACTCCAGGGCAGCCTGTCACATCTCATCGAACACTGCACCGGGGCATTATGGTAACACCTATGGCATGATCACTGGAACTCGGTCTGGCCATTCGTGGACATTCAGCGTCCTGGGTCATCAACCAGACTTGGAGAGTCTGGCAAAACTCCCCCTGTCATATGGAAGGAGGCCTGACATCATACCGATTCCAACCCTGGTGATCCTGCAGTGTGAGACCCATCCTCCCCTCACCAGTTGCACTCGAAGGTTCCTGAAAGGATGGTGTTTGGAGGCGCCTAGGTGGAAGCCTTGGCCCACCTCTATTAAACACCTCTATGGCTTCAACCATAGGATAGGGCACGTTTCGAAAGCCTTACCACTCTAGCTGACCGTCATTGGGTCTGACGCCCAAAGCCCACATAGTTTGTCTTTCTTTGACCTCGAGAAAGCTTTTGAAGCTAGCCAGTGCACCTGCCATCCTCTCCACTCTTGGCCCGCAGGGGATAAATGCAGGCTGCTTTTCCATGGCTTTCGTTTACCTATCTACAGTACGAGGCTGGCACGGGTACCTTCCAGGTCATGCCCTCCTTCTCTCAAAACCCCTGGACAACGGGCACTCCACAGGGCGGGGTGCTTAGTCCCACCCTTTTCAATGTACTGATGCACCAGCTGGTTGTGCCCTGCCTTTCCTCCAGATGGCAGCCATGTCAGCTCCGCTTTCTCTACTATGCTGTGGCGATGGCACGGCTGGGCACTTTAGTCTTACCTGGAACGCCGGCTTTTGCAGCATGCCCAGAAGGACCTCGATCTGCTGGCTTTCCACTCTACTGCCGTCAGACGATTGGGACTCAAGATATACTGCGGCGTAAATTCCAAAGCCATGAGCCAACGCACAACAAGGTGCCCAGTCAGAGGCTGCGGGTCCTGGGCATTGTGAACCTGGATGGGTTCACAGTAATAGGTAACCGCCTTGCATCTACAATGACAGGCAACTCACCATCCAGAAACATGTGCGCCACATTAAAGAGAGTGGGCCCTTTTGGCCTGGTGGCAAAAGCTCCCGCCTTCACAACACGGAGGGACCCGGGTTCGATTCTCCCGGCGTTTGGAAACATTTCGACAATTTTCCTTACACCTGTAGTCCTGTTTCACCAAGCATCAAAAAGTAACCTGGTGTTTAGTTGACTGTGTTGGTTCCGCATCCTGGGGTGGACAAGATTCAGGGAACCCCAATGTAAAAATAGAGTTAGACAAGTCCTCTAATAACGCACTGTCTTTTTTGGGTATCGCTGGGTGGCTAACCCTCCGGGTTAAAAAATATCCGAACGAAATCTTATCTTTATCTTATCTCTGCAGAGGGTCAGCATTGAGTGCCATGGCCAACCCCTATGGTTGGGGCCAGCCTCGAGTCATGATGTTTGTTTTTCTACATCCCAGGCAATACGTTTCCCTCGTTGACTAATGGGGCACTTTGCCCGTCCCCTGTTCACGCCAGACCCACAAACTATCAAAGTCCCCTCAGTGTAATCCAGAACACAGCTGTACGGGCCCATGCTGGGGGCTCCTAGGTGTCCAATGCAGTGCTCATGAACCTTGAGGAGCCACATGCCTCTTTGAAACAGATCCAACTGTAGTTTCCATGAGGATTGCAAATATCTCCGACTCCCCCAGGGGCTGACAAACTGATGAAGAGATTTATGGTCCCCGCCAGGGACAGACATGTCCCACTGCATCCCCGGCCGCCGATGGGAATGTGGGTCTGTACAAGAATGCCAACACAGAATCTCTTGCCCATGACTTGCTCCAGGCGGGAGCCTGCACAACTGCAGTGGAACTTACACTGTGGCCACCCCTTTGCACCAGAGCTGTTTGCGGTGTGCTGGACAACCCTATCTTACAGCAAGAGGCATTGCTCCCGGACATTCTGCACACCTGGACTCGGCTACATTGTGGTGCGGAAGGCCCATGGTGTGTGCCATAATAGCACTGAAATGGCTCCAGAAACCCAGTGTCAGTCAGCACGCTGCTGGGGATGCTCCACCAGCAATCTGACATCAGTTTGGCGACTCCCAGACCCATTTCGAACCATCCCTCCAGGCCCGAACTCTTTGCCATCCAACAAGCCTGCGGCAAGCTCTTGCAGACCATCAGCAACCCCCATCATCCACGTTTTGAATTCCAGAGGCAGCATCCAAGCAACTTAAAATGGCACAAGAGCCAAAGGAGCAACATACCCTATAATCACATCCATCCCGGTGACCTGCAGACTCTCATGGCCCAGGGTCGCAGGGCAAGAGCCATTCAACTGGATCCCGAGCCATGTGGGTATCCCTGGGCAATGGAAGCCTGCAGATGATGGCTGCTAGGGACGCGCGAACCCCATGCAAAACCACGTGCTGCTATCACCATCAGCCTCAGCCTATTGCGCTTGTGGGCGTTGCTGGTGTGGCCAGGCGCCCATTCGCCTGACCCTGGGGATTCACGGAGCATCTGTTGGTAATGTCAGGGCGACCCACATGGAAGCCCCCCTCCAAGTAATCGACACAGTCCAGGGAACTGAGGGTGCATATCCACCGCCAACGCATTAGGGAAATCCCACCACTGCGCGATTTGTTGAACTGCAAGAGAGGAGCTCTGTGCCCATTGTGACCTAATGGTTTCCGCAGCCCATTGTGCACTACCTGTTAGACTGCCCGTCTACAATGCCCCTGTCGCCGTAAGACCCTTCCCAATGACCCCAGTAGGGCCAGACGCCGAGAGGAATGAGGTGCAGACATCCTGTTTACTTAGCATAGCTTGTCAGGACTTGAGAAACCCTTACTTTCCAGTCCTTGCACTACATCTGCCCCCCCCCCCCCCGGATGAAGTTCTGCGAGGGCCTTCTTGGCCTCCATTGCACTGCACACAAGCCACTTTTAGTGCACACTAACGATTTGGTTACGTCATCTGGCCATAGGTCAGGTGAGGTACCCCCCCCCCCACCTTCCTGCTTGAAACCTGGGCCACACAGTGCAAAGTAACGAATAAATGTCACTGTCCCTACCCGGGGAGCCAATGCCCGGGTTCCACCAAAATGGAGAAGACCCTGTGCCGTAATTACCGCGAATCAAATAGAATAGAATAGAATAGGTAGAACTAATACACCAGATAGGCCTGGTCTACGATATGTGTAAAGCTCTTGACTTGAAAAACTATAAATAAATATAAATCATTTATTTATCCAACACTGAAAAAAAAATACCAGCATGAAAACCTGGGTAAACTGCAATACAATTGTTCCAGGTGAGGTATCGTTTAGGTAGCACGTAATTTCTGCAAAAAATGGGGTCATGGTACATGTGTAAATATCCATAAGTTTACCACTCCTTTATTAAAACAGAGAAGTGTTTTTGGGTCTGCCCAAGTGACAAAAAGCAGTAGGGGCAAATTCCATTTATATTAAAAGACAGAAACACCCCAAAAAATTATCCTTTTTGGATAACCTGATAGTCTTATATGACAGTTCGAAATGTAAAGAGAGTGGGTCAGCTGAAGGTGCCACCTCTGATGCTGCCTTGGGGAGACAGCACCTGTAAAGATTTTTTTTTTTATATTTTATTTAAAACTTCATGTACAAATATTTATAGGTACATATATAAAAAATGAACAAGGACAACATCAATAAAACAATATATAAACACAAAACAATCCAGGCAACATCTGACAGTCTACTATATACAAGTTTTTAAAACATATCACAATTTAAGAAGGAATAAAGTTATAATAACAAAGGCCACAAAATGGCTATAAATAAAACTCCTAAAATTACAACCTCAACACAATAATGCACCAAGCTTAATGACAATCACCCGTAATACAACTCGCAACAAATACACCAGACCTACAATATGCCTTATTAAGAAACCTGTGCTGCAACACAGGTGACCCTTCATCCCTCCCCCCCCATTCACACACAGGAACTGAAGGGGACAGGCCAAACTATAAAAGGGGGGACTACACAGGTATGAGAAACTTCCTGCAGGAGGTTCAGTGGGACAGAGAAATGGTAGGAAAATCAGTAAACGAGATGATGGAATATGTGGCAACAAAGTGCAAGGAGGCAGAGGAAAGTTTTGTTCCCAAGGGAAACAGAAATAATAGGAAGACCAAAACGAGTCCTTGGTTTACCCGAAGGTGTAGGGAGGCAAAAACTAAGTGCAACAGAGAATGGAAAAGGTACAGGAGGCATAGGACCCAGGAAAACAAGGAGATTAGTAGAAGAGCCAGAAACGAGTATGCACAGATAAGGAGGGAGGCCCAGCGACAGTATGAAAACGACCATAGCATCGAAAGTCAAATCTGACCCGAAACTGTTGTATAGCCACATTAGGAGGAAGACAACAGTCAAGGACCAGGTGATAGGCTGAGGAAAGAAGGTGGAGAACTCACAAGAAACGATCAAAGAGTATGTGAGGAGCTCAACACGAGATTTAAGGAAGTATTTACAGTAGAGACAGGAAGGACTCTGGGGGGACAGACCAGATGGGGACACCAGCAAGGAATACACCAACAAGTGTTGGACGACATACATACAGATGAGGAGGAGGTGAAGAAACTGCTAAGGGACATCGATACCTCAAAGGCAATGGGACCGGACATCTCCCCGTGGGTCCTTAGAGAGGGAGCAGATATGTTGTGCATGCCACTTGCCACAATCT